TATATATATATATATCTAAAATATTAACTAATTAATTAATTTTTAATGCAATTATGGCTATTTGTATTACATATATGCAAAACATAACTAGTCATTCATTATTTCCAGATGCGTCATTTTATTTTGGCTTACAATTGAAGGTTATATTCATTTTATCGAGAAACGGAATGATTGTCATTATAATTACGCATTAGAATCTCCATAATGACAAATAAGTTGAATGGAAATGACCAAGAGCAAATATGCGCACGTATAGATATCTATTGTGTATGCAGATATCTTTACATTTTCCTATTGATTTTAAAAAACGCTAACAAGTTATACCAGAAAGAAAATTATGCAGAATAAAATATCCATTATTCGGATGATATCACCCGTTTACCTCATCCTTTCTGCTGAAACTTGTTAAAAATTGGTAGAGTGATAATAGAAGTGATAATAAAAGATAATATTAAGCGAAATCGAAACAATATATTTTGTCTCTACGACAAAAAGGCGCAATTTTAATTACGCCAATTAAATGACATATTGAACTTCTGAAGTGTCGATGGTCATGTAATTATAGCTATGAAATAACAAGGTTTTATGCTGATATGCATGTTATATAATACATAAAATTAAACAAATATTTGATAATACAAGCTTATTTTTTTTTATAAAATTTTAAAACTGTGCTCTAAAACAAAATTTGTTTTTATCCGCTTTTATATTAAATATTAGAGATGCATAAGATAATAATAATAGCTTTACAAAACAATATTTTAAAATTAATGAGATATTTATTCAATTTTTTAAATAAAAGTGCAACATCTATCGATATATATATATATATATATCGTGATAGTTTTTATACTTTATAAATCATTTGTAAATAAATATAAAATTGTGGCAAAATCAGAATTAAAATGAATGCTTTTGTATTTGCACAGAGAAAAGTTGTTTTCAAATTGCAAATCATAGTTAATAATTGTGTCAAGTGACTTTTCATCGCAATTAGCAAATAATAATATATTGCAGCATGATGTGAAAAAAAATATTTGCGTACGCAACAGAGTCACTCTGTTTTTTCTTTCTTTCCAAAGATATAGACTCTGCTTTCGTCACTGCAGGTTTGTCGATTTTCCCGCTCGCGTGCGTTATTTATGCAGAAGCAAAAATACTTGTATACACTTCACTTGCGTATGATATCCATGACCTCAAACTACAATCTTATCTTCGATACGACAAACGGCAACCACCTCCCTTTGACGTTTCTGTTCCGATGGAGCGGAGATGTTCGAGCACGAACGCGTGAAAAGTTACACGCCGCTTTAAGAAATCTAGCAGTCGTCCCTCGATCGTCTCGTAGTCCGGAGCTTGAGGACATCTGTCCTCCCGAATTATAGTTCACATTAAGATAACATTGAATAATTCATTATTCGTGTGAAACGAATAAGAGAGTGACGTTGGAGAATATCGCGTTCACTACAGTCGAGAGAGTTTTCTGTTATAATATACAACAAATATTAAAGATATCTTAAAAAAGAGTAAAACTACGAGAAGATTAAAAAAAGGTATCTTATCGATAATCATAAAATTGGAGTATTGACCGGAAAAAGGGAAAAATAAAAAAAAAGCATTTCGTTCAATATTAATAGTTAACGCTAGCGAGTATAACAACCGCCTCCGGACTTTTCTATCCGTGACAGTGAAAGTGCTGAGGAAAGAAGGAAAAAAGACCGGCTCTCTTTAACGATACTCTTATTTACGAAAGAACGGGCAAGAACGATCGTTGCGAGTCAGTACTCCGTCGAATTTGAAAACGAAGAAACATTTGTAAAACTATGTCGTGTTATCATTGAGTGCCAGAATTAGAAGAAGCGTTAAAAGATCAATAAAGTCATCACTGAAGATAAAGCCATATAACATCAAAGAAGTAAGAAATATTTATCAAAAAGTTATGTAAACATATAGGCATTTGTGAAGGTTTGATACAAGAAAGCGTTACTTTCTCACAAATTATCTTTTTAATAAATATTTCTGTCTGTCAATAGTAATCAAGAAAATTAATCTATATATTTTATTTAAGTTATAAAATATTCAAAATCTGTGGCAGAATTTATAAAATTAACATTATCTCTATATATATATCTCTTACAATAAATAGAATTATATAAAAACAACAATGTTAACAATACTTTTTATAATTATTAATAACTATATTTAAGAATTAATTATTAACATAATTTTATTAAAATTTGAAATTTGATCATTCCATTATTATTATATATTGTTTATGAAATGGTCTATTTTTTAAAATTAATTTTAAAATAATAAATTTTTATTAATAGAATTATTTTTTCTTAATTTAGAATTAAAGGCTTTATTTTAGGATTAAAATAGTTAGTCCCAAGCAGAACAATAAATCATGATATCGTCAAAATGAATCATTAGAATAAATCAGAAATAATTGAAAAATGACTTTTAATAATCATTTTGGAGTCATTTTGACACCATTTTGATATTATAATAACTTATTCTGCCTGAATAAGTTCAATAAAAGCTTATTTTCTATTTTAATGAAATTTGATTATCTCTATTTTCTTTATCAAATTTTATTATGCAATTTCTGCAGTGAAAGTCTATAAGATTAGAAAGTGCAATAACTTAATTAATTTATAAAATCAATCGCACATACTTGGAGTATACATATAAAACACGACGTTCGACGTTTGACATTTATTAATTCTCGATTATCTCTTGTTTTAAATCTGTAATGACACATATATCTTATATGTGAAGTACATCAACTTTTTAAATAATATACGTTTCGTTTTATGAAGAGTTTTCTTGCAAGAAAAAATAATTTAAATTTGAAAACATATATGTTTAAAAACAGACTATACCAGATTATATCAAAATATGTACGTTAATAAATATTAAT